CATTATGAACACAGATTCCAGTATTTGGAGCTTTGACAGCATTTGTCTTTTGAGTCAATGAGTTGCCTATGGAATGAGGCCAAGGTACCATGGAGATGCTGATCTGGTAGAAAGACCTACACTTCCTCTGAATGAGGACTCTCTTGCTCTGATAATTAAGATGTTTTCAAGAGATCACAGTGTCTACAAGGAATTCCAAGATAGAACTCCCAACTACAGAGTGTTCTTCATCCACAGGATCCAATCTCTCTGGGTGAAGTCTGCTGGGTACAGTGTGCTGTCCCTTGGAGGTTAAGTGTTAACTTCTTGGAATGGTTTAAAAAATTCCAAAGCATCTGCGGATCACGTGGTTCCCAGGATTTTTTGTTGCTTCCTCTGTAAATATTTAGTTGTGTCCATTGTCTTCCATCTTTCACTGATCTTGATACTGAGGGCTCAGCACTACCATCCAGCAAATGTAAATGAGGAGTTGGGGGTCACTCTGGACCCAGCTCTGGCTCCACATCATCCCAGCCATCAACTGCTGCAGTCATCAACCATCTGGCTCTTCCTTCTGTCTCCAGAGAGTGGCATGATAGCCTACCCTCCTTCCTCAGGACAGGGTGGAGCTCCCATGAGTTAACATGTGTACTGGGTTACAATAAGAACATGCCATGCAAGTGTCACAACGAGCTAAGGACTCTGCTCACGGAAGGGTCTTGCTGAGTCAGGAGAGCAGTGTTGCTCTGACGGGGAAGCATGGGCCCTGGGGCAAGTTCTTGATTAGGTATGGGGCTTGGTTTTCTTATCAGTGGTCCAAAAGGAGGAGAACAAGCTCACGTTTTGTCCTGTAACCAGCTTTGACCTGCCTGCAACACACTTGCAAACATCAAAAAAGCAATAACAAAAAAGAGGCAAGGAAAATAAAACAAAACAAAAAAACAAAAAAGGAAGAAAATAGGAATATAGAAAGACAGTCACAGCAACAACTCAACTCACTGCCATTGAGTCGAACCCGACTCATAGCAACCTCCTTGGGTTTCCAGGGTGGTATCACTACGGAAGTGGATTGTGCAACCTTCCTTCTGAGGAGTGGCTGGTAGGTTTGAACCACCAGCCTTCTGGTTAGCAGTCAAATGCCTTAGGCACTATGTCACCAGTAGCAGTCTTCTCCCCCTATTCAGCCTATATCCAGGTCCCTGGGTGGCCCAAATAGTTAACCTAAAGGGGAGTCTCTTGCCCTTTCCCGTATCTCTCACTCTCATCTCTCACAATCTCCTTAGTGTCTCTCGCTTTCATCTCTCATACTCTCCCTAGTCTCTTGTACTCTCCGTCTATGCCAGGAAGTCTTGCAGCCCCCACTCATAAGTTTGCTGTGGGGCTCATCTCCAATACGTAGCAGAAGTTTTGCAAAACAACTGGGTCCTAAGCACCCACCCTCCTACCAGCACCCTCTCCCACTGCCCTGTCCTTCTGATAGTCTTCAAAGACATCAAGAAGTAAGGGGCCCCGACAAGCTTGACGATAAATTACTTTCAGATGAAAGATTAAAACAAGGAAAAAAATCAAATAGCCAAGGCATGGGGACGATAACTCTCGGTTCCTTCAAAGCCCTCTGAGCCTCCCCATTGAGTCTGTTGACAAGGGCATCCAGGACTGCCAGGGTGACGACACCTCTTCTCCAGGAGGCCATGGCTCAGGCATTGCCAGGATGGTGGTGTGAGAGCACGCTCCATGTGCAGACTCAGCATGGTGGGTGATCCTGGTGGGGCAGGAGAGGACAGTGACAGGGAACTGGGATCAAGCCCTTGATGTAACCACACAGAGGGGTGTGGCATGGGCTGGGTGGGCAGCTCAGGACCCTGCCACAGGAGCTACCTGGACCCTGGGGACCTCTGAGCTTGGTAGGGGTGGTGTGGTATCCATTTGTTAGTGGGGGATGCTGCCACACTGTCCTGTCATTCAGAGGACTTTGTTTTTAAATATGAAGTAGCCTTTTCCTAGCAATTTCTAGGTGGTGCAAATGGTGAACGTGCTTGGCTGTCCACCCAAAGGGTTTAGGTTTAAATCCACACACAAGTGCCGGGGAAGAAGGGCCTGGTGACCCACTTCTGAAAGATCCCAGCCACTGAGAGCCCTGGGAGCACAGTGCTACTCAGACCCACATGGGCTCGCCAGGGGTCCAGATCCACTCGGCAGCTCTCGACCGCTGATGTCCCGTCTCCTAAGTGGATGGCTGCTGGTCGCTGGTGTCCCTTTAACTAAGTGAACAGCTGCTGGTCACTGGTGTCCCTTTAACTAAGTGAACAGCTGCTGGTCGCTGGTGTCCCATCTGCTAAGTAGATGGATGCTGGTCTCTAGTGTCCCTTCTACTAAGTGGACAGCCTCTGGTTACTGGTGTCCCTTTTCCAAGTTGTGCCTTGTGGAGCTCTGGCCTCAGGCAATTTTCTGTAAGGGCAGCATCCAGACCCCCAGAGGGGCTCTGGCCCTGGGGACTTGGGGAAGTGGTCACTGAGACCATCTTTGGAGAGTCTTAGAAGCACTAGCACTGAGAAGCTCTGAGAAGGTGTGCTGTCTGAGGCCAAGCTGTGTGATAACAAATAACGAATAAATGGCAGCAAAGTCTTTCTGACTCATTGAACACTCACAGTGAGCCAGGCTCCAGTCTAAGCCTGTTGTCTGCTTTCTGGTCAGTTCTGAGGCACGGGGCCCCATGTGGCACAGTAGACCTGCCCTGTGGGGTTTCCTGGGCTGTCATCTTCACCGACCCAGACTGCCAGGTCTTTTCTGTCACAGATCCCTCTTGTCCTTGTCATGCTCCGATGAAGGAGGCACAGTTTTCATTGTCATTTTACAGATGAAGAAACTGAGGCAGTGAGTGGTTAAGTCACTTACCCAAAGCTCCTCAGTTTATAAGTGGTGAAAGCAGGATTCAAATGCAGGGACTCTGAGCACAGAGTCCGTGTTCCAGTGATGTCTTTCAACAGCAAGGATGTGCTGGAGTCCAAGGCACGGTGGGGATGTCCTCCGGCTCTGATCTTGGTGGTGGGGCAGTGACTGTGGGCACGTTCCTGATGCCTCATGAGTCGTGGCAGATAATGTGTTTCTCACAGCGCCAGCAGGCAGGAAGTTCTTAGTGAGTGGAGCTGTTATTATTGTAAGGAGCCCTGGTGGTGCAGTGACTATGTGCTTGGCTGCTAACTGAAAGGCTGAACCCACCCAGAGGCTCTGCAGGAGAAAGACCTGGCAGTCTGCTGCCGTAAAGATTACAGTCCAAGAAACCCAGGCAGTTCTCCTCTGGCCTATAGGGTCATTATGAGTCAGCATCGGCTGGATGGAACACAACAACTACAGCAATTATTGCTGTGTAGTGGCACAAAGAGAATGCCGCCTGGGATTGGTGTGAGGACCGTACCCGGTCGTGTCGCATGCGGGCAGCACTTAGTGTAGTGCCGTACTCACTGGTGGTGCTCAGTAAGTGTGGCAGTTCATCCTCCTATCAAATCCAAGGGAGCAGGGACTTGGCTAGCATCCTGTGGAACACACTTTGGGAAATGGGCCCAATTCTTGGCAGTCACTGCTTCTGCCCGTGTTGTGTTGGTTTTGCTCATGTGGACATGCATGGTTCTCTGCACTGACGGGCTCTGTGTAAGATGTGAGCTCGTAAACTGGCTTATTCCGGGAGGTTTGGTCCCTCCAGCCCTGGTTACAGGTTCGAAGCTTGGCTTTGGTGTGTGCAGTCAGGCAGATTCTCTGCTTGATGTTTGCCCAGATACTGCTTTGGTTCATTGTCTTCCCTGATAGTGGTGACGAGGGAGCTGAGAGTGGAGGCCAGAAACCCTCCACTCTGTAAGCCGCCTCTCCCCCCCAGAAAAATGTGCTCTCCTTCCTGGCTCAGCTCCCCCACCGTCTGGGGAAAACGGAACCTTGATGTGGAGTAGCTGCAAAGTGAGCTCTGGGAGGGAAGCAGAGGAGCTAAATCCCGCTCCTTCCTAACTGAGCAAGTGACAGTGAGGTTCCCACGTTGGTCAAGCCACAACAGGGAGCCCACCACCAGTGGCCTTGGCAGGACGTAGTCTCAGTGTGGTGGGGGCAGATGCTGGCTCTCTTACTCAGACCTGCAGCTCATCACCCTGCGCCTCAGTTTCCCAATCTGTAATGTGACCATAATAGATCCTTTGAGAGTGGTTGTGAGTCTCATGAAAGAGAAATTC